TGGATGTAAGTATTAATCAGTGTGCATGTATTAGGCAATATGTGTGTATGTATTGGGCATTATGTGTTTATAGATGTATGCATCAGGCAATATGTGTGTATAAATATATGGATGGATGTATTAGGCGGTGTGCGTGTATGGGTGTGTATGTATTAGGCAATATGTGTGCAGGAGCAGAGCAAACAGAGAGGAGCAGAACAAATAGAAAGGAGCAGAACAAGCAGAGAAGAGCAAGTAGAGCAAGCAGAGAGGACAAGAGCAGAGCAAGCAGAGAGAAGTAGAGAAAAGCAGAGCAAGTCAAGAGGAGCGGAGGAGAGCAAGTAAAGGGGAGCAGAGCAAGCAGAGATGACAAGAGCAGATCAAACAGAGAGAAGCAGAGTAAGTAGAGAAAAGCAGAGCAAGTCGAGAGGAGCAGAGCAGAGCAAGTAAAGAGGAGCAGAGCAAGGAGAGGGGAGCAGAGCAAGCAGAGAGGATGAGCAGAAAGGAACAGAGAGAAGCAGAGCAAGTCGAGAGTAATGGAGCAGAGCAAGCAGAGAGAAGCAGAGCAAGTAAAGGGGAGCAGAGCAAGGAGAGGGGAGCAGAGCAAGCAGAGAGGACGAGCAGAAAGGAACAGAGAGAAGCAGAGCAAGTAGAGAAAAGCAGATCAAGTTGAGAGTAGCGGAGCAGAGCGAGCAAAGCAAGTAAAGGGGAGCAGAGCAAGCCGAGAGTAGCGGAGCAGAGCAAGCAGAGAGGAGCAAAAGCAGACCATGCAAATAGAAGCACAGCATGCAGAGAGGAGGCAGAGTAGAGACCAGCACCGCAGAGCAAGCAGAGAGAAGCAGAGCAAGTCAAGAGTAGCGGAGCAGTGCAAGCAGAGAGGAGCGGAGCAAGTCAAGAGTAGCGGAGCAGTGCAGAGCAAGCAGAGAGGAGCAAAAGCAGAGCATGCAAATAGAAGCACAGCATGCAGACAGGAGGCAGAGCAAAGCAAGCAGAGAGGAGCAGGCATTGTGGCCCGCGGCCTCTGCCACATCTAGGTTCTGAGAAAAGTGAATTAATTGCAGTGATTACAGCGAGCGGTGTGAGTGTGACAAAGGTTACTTACCCCTAATTGCAGACAGTGAATGGTATGACAGTGGCACTTACTCCTGAGATTGCAGACAGTGTTGTGACAATGTCACCTTACTTACCAGAGATTGCAGACAGTTTGCAGTGCGGCCCAACATAGGGTGTGAAACCTTACCTACCTGAGAGTGCAATTTGCAGAGGGACTGAGTGAGCGGAGCAGACACTCCAGACAGTGGCACTACTACTGTAAGTAACGTGAACTTTAATTGCAGCTTTTGAGTAAATGATATGTAAATGATATGTACCAACTATAGGCCAGTGCCAACCATTTTTAGTTGTTCATGCAAGTAGAGCTAAATCTGCTCTTCTTACAGGACAAATTCATTAGAGTTAGCATATTAAAATACAGTTTATGTCACTTTAAAATGCTTAAACTGAGTGTAGAGAATACACTGTTAAGTGACCATTTTCTCTGTATGTAAAATATTTATATAGAAGTGTTAATTTAATTTCCCTTAAAATTGCATGTTGTAAATTATTTTAAAAATAAATATTTAAAAACAAAAAACTAGTTTTGAACAATTCTGGCATCGCGAGATATTGTTACCATGGCATATCTAAAGCAGACTTTAGCATATTTAACAAGGTGCTGGAAATCAGAGTTTTGTTAACTTTTAAATGTTCTCCACGTTTGTATATGTGTATGTGTGTGTGTGTGTGTGTATGTATATGTATATATATATATATATATATATATATATATATATATATATATACACCCCGTTCCAAATTATTATGCAAATTATATTTTTTCTAATTTACCTAAATAATTGATGTAAATAACAGTCAGCATAATTTTCATGTTATCAGCTATTAAGAGTACAATTCAAATTTTATTAAACTAACCTCCTATAGATAACAGTATTTTTTTTAAACATAAAAAACTTACAGTGCACTGTTCCAAATTATTATGCACCGTAAGTTTCAAAACACTTTATAGGTTGTAAAGAACTGAAAATTGTCATTTGTTGTGTTTGCAGCATATTTACTGAAATCAAAAGCTATTTCAATCAAACTTATAACAACATTTTAACTTTTTAAACATTTTAACAGGTCATGTTACATTTTAACATAGTACCCCTTATTTGATAGCAGCTCCACAAGTCTTTCCGTCCCAAATCATGACTCCACCACCGCCTTGCTGACGTCGCAGCCTTGTTGGAACAGGGGGGCCGTCCACCAACCATCCACTACTCCATCCATCTGGACCATCCAGGGTTGCACGGCACTCATCAGTGAACAGGACTGTTTGAAAATTAGTCTTCATCTATTTTTCTGCCCAGTGCAGCCGTTTCTGCTTGTGAGCATTGGTTAGTGGTGGCCGAATAGAAGGTTTATGCACAGTTGCAAGACTCTGGAGGACTCTACACCTTGATGTCCGTGGGACTCCAGAGGCACAAGCAGCTTCAAATATCTGTTTGCTGCTATGTAATGGTAATTTAGCAGCTGCTCTCTTGATCCGATGCATGGATCTGGCAGAAATCTTCCTCAATGTGCCTTTATCTGCACGAACCCGTCTGTGCTCTGAATCAGCCACAAATCTCTTAATAGTGCGATGATCACGCTTAAGTTTTCGTGAAATATCTAATGTTTTCATACCTCGTCCAAGGCATTGAACTATTTCACTCTTTTCGGCAGCGGAGAGATCCTTTTTCTTACCCATATTGCATGAAAATGGTGCTCTGCTTAATAATGTGGAACACCCTCCTTTAGTAGTTTTTCCTTAAATTGGGCTCACCTGGCAATCTAATTATCACAGGTGTCCGAGATTGCGTTCAGTGATCAAAAGAGCCATGAGACACAATGCCATCCATGAGTTATACTGAAAAACAAAATATTTAATCTTTGTGACACTTTCTTTTTTTTTTTTTATTCTTTATTATTGACAGAGGTTACAAGTTTATGACAAAGTAACAAATAAGCAAATTTTTATCCATTGAAAACATAAAGGACAGTAACATATGCTCTCCCTTTTGTTCTGTAACAACCCCTTGATATTTGTTTAAGTGCTTTTGACTGACTTGTTCATTCAGGGGTATCATCTCTGCATGTGTTATTTACTTTCGCAGTTTACCTCTTGTCGTCTTTTTAGTTTTCCTAGGAGTTAAACCATTGCTTTTTATCAACCCATCTAAGGAGGAGCAGTCTGTTGGTTTGGTCGAGTTTCATACTGGTTCGTGTGCCACTCTAGTACATGCTCCTAGTCCAGTATGTCTTAATCTTCTCCCTTTAACTCTATTAATCGCAAGAAGCATGGTGGTAATGTTAAATCTTTGTGACACTCAATATAATTTGCATAATAATTTGGAACAGGGTGTACACACATACATACGCATACACACATGTTTTGTAATTGCCCCTCTACTTCTGTCCCTGGCCCCCCATGTGTTCCTCCTAAATATGAATGCTGGAGACGCCACTGCACACACTCACTCACTGACAGACACACACACTCTCTGACACACATACACTCACTCACTGACAGACAGACACACACACACACACAGGCAGACACTCACTGACAGACACACACACACAGACACTGACAGACACTGACAGACACACACACTCACTGACAGACACTCACTATTTTTGACAGTTGCAGGAGAGGAGTCGGGGGTGGGGGATGAAATCCCTCTAACAGTTTAAATGATATGTTTTCCTGAAGTGTGTTTTCAAAGATTTTTATGAAGGAGTGGAGACTGGGTGAAAGTCTAACAGAGAAGGGAAGGGAGTTCCACAGAAAAGGTGCAGCCCTGAAGAAGTTTTGGAGGCGAGCATCAGATGTGGGAGTACAGACAGAGGATAGGTAGGTCTTCGGCAGAGCGCAGGGGCTTCGACTGAACATATCTTTGTATTATGGAGGATAGGTAGGTTGGAGCAACATTATGAAGGGACTTGTAAGGAAGCACCAGAATCTTAAATTGAGCCATATATCTAAATGGAAGCCAATGTAGGGCCTGACAGAGAGGGGAGGCGTGGGAGGTGCGGGCGGACAGGAAAATTAATCTCGCCGCCGCATTTATTGTAGATTGCAGTGGTGCAGTCTGGGAACGCATAAGACCACTGAGAAGGGGATTGCATTAGTCAAGGTGAGAAAGAACAACGGCATGGACCAGCACCTTAGCTGCATCTGGTGTAAAATAGGGGCGGATGCGAACTATGTTTTTGAGATGGAAGCGGCAGGATTTGGCGATCGACTGGACATGAGTGGTGAAGGAGAGGTCGTGGTCAAAGAGAACACCTAGGCTGCGAACCTGCGAGGTAGAGGTGATTGTGGCGCTGTTGACTTGGAGAAAGACAGACACGGGACTAGCAACACTTGAAGGAGGAAAGACCAGAAGTTCTGTTTTAGACAGGTTAAATTTAAGGAAGTGAGCAGCCATCCAGTTGGAAATCGCGGAGAGGGAGTCAGAAACACGAGTCAAGATAGGTGGAGAGTAGAGATGTCGCGAACGGTTCGCGAACTTCCCGCAAACGGCTCGCAGCGGTTCATGGCGAGCTCCGGTCAGCTGACACATCCCGACCAATCTCCAGCAGACCCTCCCTCCCAGACCCTCCCACCTCTTGGACAGAATCCATGTTGAAGCTGCCTTCAATATGGATGCTGTCCAGGAGGTGGGAGGGTCTGGGAGGGAGGGTCTGCTGGAGATTGGCCGGGATGTGTCAGCTGACCGGAGCTCATCACGAACGGTTCGTGGCGAGCCGTTCGTGGGAAGTTCGCGAACGGTTCGCGACATCACTAGCGGAGAGAGATCAGGAGAGGACAGGTAGATTTGTGTGTCATCTGCAGTATAGTTAGAGAACAGTAGGGGACCAAGGGCAGAACCTTGGGGAACGCCAACAGAGTGGGGTTGTGGAGAAGAGGCAGAGCCAGAGAAAGAAACACTGAAAAAGTGCTGGAAGAGGTAGGAGGAGCACCAGGAAAGGGCAGTATCCCGAAGACCAAGATTACGGAGAAAGATTCTCCGTAATCTTGGTCTTCGGGATACTGCTCTTTCCTGGTGCTCCTCCTACCTCTGTCAAAGGCAGCAGAAAGATCAAGGTTAATTATGATAGAGTAATGGCCGCGAGATTTAGCAGCGATTAAATTGTTGGATACTTTGGTCACAGCTGTTTCAACAGAGTGACGAACGCGAAATCTAGACTGAAGCGGGTCAAGCAGAGAGTTGGATTCAAGGAAGTCTGTCAATCTTGCATACACAACTCTCTCAAGGATCTTGGAGGCAAATGGCAGTAGCGATATAGGGTGGTAGTTGGATGGGGAGTTGGGGTCAGGGTTGGGCTTTTTCAGAATCGGCGTTATGGTTGCATGCTTGGAGGCTGAAGTAAATATGCCAGAGGTAAGGGAGAGATTGAAAATTTGAGTGAGAGAGCAAGAGATGGAGACAGAGTGCGGATGAGATATGAGGGAATAGGGTCGAGGGAAATGGTGGTGGGGCGAGAGGACCAGAGCAGAGCAGAAACCTCTTCCGATGTAGTAGGTGCGAATGAGCATAGAACAGTGGAGGGAGTAGGGTTGGGTGATGTATTGGAATGGGAGGGAGAGAGGTTAGAGATCTCTTCCCTGATTGTAGAAATCTTCCCAGTGAAGTGAGGCAGACATGGTGGTAGGAGGAGGGGGAGCAGCAGGGTGAATGAGAGCAAATAAAAGTGTGAAATAGTTGTTTGCGTTCGTGGGAGAGCGTCGTTATGAGAGTACTGAAGTAATTTACTTTTGCAGAGGAAAGAGCCAGAGTGTAGGAGCGCAGCATAAATTTATAGTGGAGGATGTCGGGTGCAGAGTGAGACTTTCTCCAACAGCGTTCAGCAGTTTTGGAACATTCTTGGAGATATCCGGTCAGTTTAGTGTGCCAGGGTTGTAATTGGGAAATATTTCTGCGTTTAAATGTAGGAGGTGCCATGATGTCTAGTTGAGAGTGGAGCTGTAGAGTGAGGTTGCAGAGTTAGGGCAATTGAGATTTGAGATGGGTAAAAGGAGAGTTTTGAGGAGAAATGCTGGAGATCAAGTCAGTGGAGGTTTCTGCAAGTTTGGAGAGTTGAGGGTGGGGAAATTTGGGTATGGGGTATGCCGATGTCAAAGGTCAGCAGATGGAGGTCAGAATATAACTGTTTTATCTAAAATGTGATCTTTCAAATCAACCCATGGTCTTTCTGGTCTACATGCATTATTTTGAATGTTCTACAAATTATGTTCACCTTGATGCTGTGTTGCTGGTGTTTCTGTGTTTCTCCCTAACATTATGTCTGCCTCTGTGCCTGTGTTTCAGGTTATGCCAGGCTAGCCAAAGTTTGGATATATAAGCCTAACTGTTCTTATTTGGTTTTCAGATAATTTTAATGCGCCGTTTTGTGATGTCTAGTGCAATCACATTTCATGAATACATTTGCTTCAAATTTGATTGTACAATATAAAGGTGATAGTTTATTCTCTGTTAAAACACAACCCCTTTAACATATTATACATTAACTGGCTCTGGATGACATCCTTGGTGTTCCATTAGCCATACATAACTTCAATGAAGTCACTCTATCTTTATCATGTCATGGAAAACAAAAATCAAAACTACTGGGGTGATAAGAACTAATGATGTCCAACTACTGATGTCAGACTAATAATGTCAAAACTACTGGGACTATAAGGACTGATGATTTCCAAAAAAAACAGGAAGCACAAACATAATTCTAAAATTATACTATATAACAAATATACAGTTTTAAAAGGTTAAATAGCGTCTCAAGCATACGATTCTCTGAAATAAATCCAACAATTAATAATGAAACAATTAATCTTGTTTCAGATTTGTGCAATAATAATGGAGTTTAATAAACCTCCACCAATGTTTGTAAACATTTATAAAAGTTTTTTATAGAATTCATTCTGTCCTTGAGTAGGGGAAGTAACATTATATCCAGATGTGTATTTGACATGTATCCACTTGGTTTTGTAACAAAGTATCACCAGAAATAAATACATAGGGTGATACCATAAATTTATTTAGTCAAACAAAACACAAAAAGTTTAACTCTTACATGGGTAGAAGTGATACTTACAGTATAAAGCTATGAATGTAATTTATTTCTTTTAAGGTGATAAAGGTGATGTCAAGGGTTGAGTACATGGGCTTAGATGGTCAAAACCCAAAAGTCAAGGGTGTAGTTATATTCCTAAGACTAGAGTCTAGCTCTCCACCATTTCTAACGGGAGACTATAGACACCATGGCCATTTCATCTCATTGAAGTGGTCTTGGTGCAGTGTCCCTTTTCCCCCTTGGTCCTGAAATGTAAAACATTGCAGTTTTAGAGCCACTAGAGGCACATCCTGGTATTTCACGAAGTTTGGCTCAGTAAAACAATGCTAGATGTCCTCACGCTCTGCATGAGAACGTCCAGCATCAGACAAAACCCCTTAGAAAAAGCATTGAGGAAATGCTTTCCTATGTGGAGGCCTAATGTGCGCATTGTGCTTGCCATGCATGCACATTAGGTCCCCCCCATCTGATGACATTTAAGGCGGTGGACTGTGACCCAGAACTAAGTGAATAAAGGGTTATTTAACCCTTTTCATTGCTGGAGGCGGGGTGGTGGGGGTGGCATGGGTGCTATGGAACACGTTAGTGCTAGGAATACATCTTCCTAACACTACAGTGTTCCTTCAAACCTTACCAGAGGCATAACTAGAAACTACAGGGTCCCGTGCAAAAATTGCCCTGGGCTCCCCCCTCCATTTGTATAATATAACACATACAGATACATACACGGACACACATGCTAATACACAGCCACACATAATGACACACATTCAGATTCACAGAATGTCACTTCTACAGATACAAACACTGACACACATACAAATACACAGACACACACTGACACACATGCGGATACACAGACACACATACAGACAGATACACATATAGACACATGGAGATACACATACACAGAATGACACGCACACAGATACAAACAGTGACACCCATACAGATACATAAGGGCACACACTGACACACATGCAGACAAACAGATACACATACAGACACATGTGCAGAAATACAGATACACATACATACGGGTAAACAGATACACATACAGATACAGACACATATGCAGATAAACAGATACACATACAGAGATAAAGAGCACACAGACACATGCAGATACACAGACACACATGCAGATACACAGACACACATAGAGACACAAATGCGGATACACAGACATACTTAATGACAAACATTCAGATACACAGAATGACAGGCATACAGATATAAACTGTAACACACATACAAATCCGTGGGGGCACACACTGACACACATGCAAACAGATACACATACAGACATACAGATACCCATACATACAAACAGACTCACATGCAGACAGATACAGACAAAGACACACATACAGACACACATGCAGACACACAGATACAGACATTCACACACACACATACATACATACAGACAGACATTCACACACACATTCTCACAGATTCACCTCCTCCTGTTTCCTACCTTTAGGTGCAGGAGGGTGACTTCCCTGGGGCCCAGTGTCTGCCTTTGGCTGATGGGAGTCAGAGCTCCCACACTGAATCCCTCCTTTCCTCCCCGATGCTGTCCACCCGCGCAGCTCTCTTAGCTGGGAGGAAGTGATGGTTTCTTCCCAGCGCCAGCGGGCGCTCTGACATCATCACTGACCAGGCCCTTGGTAATTCATTGCCATCGGGTGACCCCAAGAGCATGGGCCACCTGATGGGCCCCTTCAATGCGGCCCCGGCAGTTGTTCTGTGCAGCCGGGGTGGCACCACAATCTCGGCGGGCACAGAAGTCGCAGGGGGCGGCCCGGCACACTGGAGTGACGGGCCCGGTCGCAGCTGCAACCGTGGTAATTCCACTATGTACCCTCACCACATACACATGGCATATGGTTAGTTACAGGGCATTTGCGAGCAGTGGCTAACTCATGGATGTATAGGAACTCATTCCCAACTGGGACAGACCTACAACTCCCATGATGCTTTGACAGTTTTATGGCTGCTAAAGTAACTCAGGACAGTTGGCAATTTACCTTTTGGCTGGTGTCTGGTTTAAACAGGTACTTCATTTAGCTCTTATGGACTACGTTTCTCATGATACTCAGCTAGAAGTAGGCTGGTGCACTGTGCCTTGTATTTATTATATGTATATTGCATGATATAGGCTACAATTTTATGTAATGTTTGATTTAGTCTGTTTTATGGGTTACCAAGTTGTGTAAAACTTTAAAGGGACAGTATAGGCACCATAATAACTTCATCTAAATTATGTTATTATGGTGCCGGGATGTCCCCGTGTGCACTCTTACCTTAAGGGGCTAGGCCATTCTCGAACCTTTCTCTCCAGCTTAGTTAAAGGGATACTATAAGTGCCAGGAATACAAAATTGTATTCCTGGCACTATAGTTCCCTCTACCCCCCTTGCGCCCTCCCAACCAACGTGAATACAATTTTAAAAACTCTTGGCCTCCTCCATCGTCCTGCGATGAGTGGGCGCAAATGTGCATGCAGATGGCCGCATAAGACCTCCCCATAGGAAAGCATTAAATCAATGCTTTCCTATAGGGAAAAATATGAAACTGGATGTCCTCATGCAGAGCGTGAGGACATCCAGCATCAGTTATCGGACCAAAGGTCCGTTAGGATCAAGGAAGGGCCTCCAGTGGTTGTTAACATTGCAGCACTATTTGCCATAGGGACAGTGCGAACAGACCACTTCAATTAGCTAAAGTAGTCTGGTTGCCTATAGTGTCCCTTTAAGTAACTAATAGAGACTACAGAAGCCTCTTGTGCAATCAAAGTTCAATGAACAGAGCATGATATAAGAAATTCTAAACTAAAATCACTATGCTGTAAAATTAAACTTTTTCTATGGAGGCTTTAGTCTTTAAGCTGAAGAGCTTGCAGGGTATTTTTTTCTTGCCAAAAATAAACCTATTGTACCTAAATATAGAAGACTATGTGTTGTGTACACAAAAGCCACAATGCTGAAGGG